TCATCGTGCACGCTCGTTGATCGCGCTGACGCCAGATCGAAGGAAACCTACAACCACCAACCATTACAACCGGGTACACTTAGGTGCTCCTTTCTTGTTTTTTCCCTCCCTTTTTCTTGATCGCCAGCTGGAGAATATTTTTAAGTAAATATTTTTTTTTCTCTTCTCGCCGCAAATCATCGGTGTATATATGTATGTTATCCGCTGGCATGTTTTTGATTGCAATTCATTCCCCATGTTTACCCTGCACCCGGTGGTACAGGCTCGTGCAGACAAACCGCTGCTCCAGGCACTGACTGTTACACTAATTAAGGGCGGTTTCAGTACGCGTGTTAATTCTTAATTAATATCTTTGTTGCCTCCTCCGACGTGGCAGCCCTCGGCACCCATTTCTCGCTCGTTCTCCTCCTCCTCCTCTCTCTCTCTCTCTCTCTCTCTCTCTCTCTCTTTCACTCTCTCTATCTCTCTATCCCTCTCTATGCCCCTTTTTCTCTCACACCACCGTTTTCATTCTCCCTTTTTCTATCATCAGCTTCTTCTCTCCTACGCTGTACACCTTCTCGCTTTCTCGCTTCTTTTTTTTCTCTTCTTCAGCTCCAGGTTCTCTTTCTCGCATCTTCGTGTCCTTTTTCCACCACGTTTTCCCTCGTCGCGTTTCAACCCTCTCTCTTTGTCTGTCTTTAACAGACACCCCAGCCAGGCACCACGTCCACCCACTTCTCTTCTGGAGTCTCTCGAATGAAAGGAGATGTATGGGAACACACGCGCATCTCGAGCCACTATGATAGGTACAATCGGTCACGAGTGACGAAAGAAAAAAGCAAGAAAGGACTGCGGAGGAAGCGCGTTCCTCCGATTTACCGCTCAACCGTTTCAAAACCGGGAGCAAACCTCTTTCGCGACGAATCGAGAAATCGTTGGTTAACCCCTTTGTCGCTTAACCCTCGCGATATTATTCTCGCTCTTTCTCGCTGTTTCGCCACTCCCTTCGACAGTTTCTCCTCGCGAGCACCTAAATTGTTTCCTCGAGCTTCCTTTCGCTCCTTGAACGACGAGTGACAATTAATTACGAAACAGCCGCACTCGTCTCAACTTTCCAATGTGTTTGCCCAAGCAACGTTTCTCTCTCTCTCTCCCTCTCCCACCCTCTTTTCCCCTCTGCCCGTTCTTTTTTTCCAGATCGAGTTCAAAACCCCCCTCTGGCGCACGAAAAACTTTCTTCTTCTTCCTCTTTCTCCGATTCGATCGAAATACTCTCTTCAATTGCAATAGCCAGCGGGGCCTCTCGAGAATCTTCAACGAGCCTCGCGTCTACTATTTCCCGAATAGTCAACAACGTTCGACTCCATTGCATTGAACGGTGGCGCCCTTTGAAATCGAGCCCTTTTACGTCGAAAATGTCCGTAAAGCTCACGACTGGAGCAGCTCTTATTAACCAGACTTCCTGGTTCCTTCGTGTGCTTCAATGCAGTTCGCATTCTTCATCCAAGAAAAGTACTCTTCAACGTTCGACTTCCATCCCCTTTTCACCCCTGGTATCTATACTACTGTGCACCCGTGGTACTATTGTACTTGATACGAAATATTGAGAAAAGTATGATTCTTCGTTCTGCCACTGCTTCTACGTTTCTCCATCTCGATAACGCTATTTAAAGAGTTTACACAAACTTTCGCCAATTTCCCTGCTTTCCCAGATGCGTCTATTTAGTCGACTTGTCTTGGACGCTTCTTTTCACGGAGGAAATTTCCAACGAGCGGTGAAATCGATACCGCGGGAAATGAGATGATTGGATCGGACACCGGGGATACCTAGTTCTGGTTGAAGTATTCAAGAGGCTCGATGGGGGGAGTCCTGTGGCGTTTATGACGACGTTACACACTTATTTTTCCCTTGTTCCATTTACTCGACGAATTTCTGCTCATTTATTTTTAAATTTCTAGATAGTTATCTTCTTTATTTCGTTATCCTTTAACTTCGTTCTATTCTGATAAGACCAGTATTCCTGAACGAAAATTTACCGCGTTCTCAGAGTGTTCCAGTTCAAACTCCGGTAACGATCCCATTTTGCAGTCGCTGGAAAACCAAGTTTCCAAGGAAACCGTGCAGCTCTCTCCCTGTTCAGGAACTGATCTCTCCGTTCAAGGGAAATTTCCGGCAGCACAATATGCCAGGCCACGCGGAAACACCGTGGCCCGTTCGTCTTTTTTTCTTCTTCTTTCTCTTTCCGTCTTCAAGACACCGTCATATATAATTGACATCGCGTCAGGTCGTAAACCGAGGCTGGAACGGAAAAGTAGGTGGCATCCTGGCGGAAAACAGGTCCTCACCGAGAAAAGGCGCCCTCGCCTCCGTGTTTCGCCGCGTCTCCAATTTTCCAGCCGGCTTTTCTCAACGCCGGTACCACCCCCGGGGGCCACGCCAGTCTCCTTTTGCTCCTAGAATCCTCCAGTATTTTCCTTTGCCGGCAAATTGGACTATTACCGTAGCTGCTCCTACCTCAGCGGCGTGTCTTCGCGAATACCGCGTATTTTCTCTCTTCGTCCCGCCTTAGACGAGTTTTACGGCCCTTTTTCCACAGGTTCTCTTAGGTACCTAGCTAGCTCAATGCGGCGCGCAGTTGTTAAAACAACCAATTCTGTCGGAAAGCTGCTCGTTACTGCACGCCTCTCTCACGCTCCCTGCAGAATCCTTAGCAATCCTGATGGCAAACCGTTTGTTCTCCTGCGGACGCTGGCCAATAAAACGTACCGTTGTCTTTTTCATGGTATCCGAGATAAAGACGTCTCTCTCTCCAGGAATGTTGCAAATTTTATCGTGTACACTTAACCCATGATTTGCATAATATCACTCGATAAAGTGGAAATTCTGTGTACAGTGTTCCACTCTATGTTACGCATTTATGTACCTTATACATTTCATACAAGATATAGATACTTTTAGACTTTTAGATATAGGTCCACTGTCGTTCATAAATTTTAGGACACCTGTTAAGTATTACACGATTTAAATTACATTTTTTTGAAAAAGTTAGTACCATATACCAATAAAAATATACAGGGTGTTCACGCTATTAGCTTCCAATGTATTTTTCTCGTAAGTGGTAGATTTGTGAGGAAAATAGAAGAGGGCAAAATTTGATTACTTTTTACACATAATTCGATGGCTTGAATAGATTTTTCAAATTTGCAATGGTTTCCGTGGAATGACAGTACTACGAACTTTTCTAAATTGGTAACTGCAATTTTTTTCATAATGTATAGAAGCGATTGCCGAGACAAGTTCAACCACCCAGAACAGACTCATTTTCAATAAGTTAGGATATTTTTCTGACCGCACCTTAAATGGAAAAAATAGATATTTATTAGGTTGCTGCAAACGAAATGTCCTTTTCTTAACAAGCTCGATACCAGATATTAAATTTTATCCGATCACAAATTTTTACACACGATAGTCAAGTAGAAGGAATTTGCTGTATTGTATTGTATGGTAAAAGAATTTACGCGACGTTTCATATGCACTGACCTTATAGAAGTTTTATCCTGTGTACGAAATTCCACATTGAATAATTCTTTTGCAAAATCATAATAATTTTCTAACAATCGTTTAAGTTTACTTCACATTCAGTAAGTGTCTCGATACTTGTGAACGGTAGTGTACCGACGTAGATAATTGTTTCCTACTTCTCCTTACATACAAGGTAATATGTATATCTCGAATATCGTTCTCATTCTAATTGACTGGTATCTCGTACACAATTGTCGAAATTTGACAGTCCAAAGAGCAGCGATTTAAAATCTACCGGTGGGCGTGGAGGCACTCTCAAGTTTCGGGAGAAGAAAGTCTCCCGTTACCGATTAGCGTTTGTATTGGGGAGGGTGTGGCAGGCACCCTCGATTTCCCGAAATATTTTGACAAGAAATTTAATATTACTCTCGAGACGATCCCGAGAAAACTCGAGACCGGCGAAATTATACGCGATTGCTCGTACCTGAGGACCTTTAACATCCCTCGTTGCTTCCTATTTCGTCAGATCCTGCTTGAATTTCGAAAGCGTTTTAAACAGAGAATCGATAAATATACGAGGGTGGAGCTACCACCCAATGGATGCAACCAAGTACAAACGCGGCCCCATTAGACGCGAAGGTCATCCACGGTAATCATTTTCAACCTGTCGTCCCTTGTTTCTAGCGACATCGCTTTGCGGGCCGAGCTAGCGGCGCTTAATGGCTCGGAAAAATCGGAATCATCGTCAGCATGAATACGTAATCAGTTTCCCGCTCATCGTTCGCCCACGTGACGTCATCGTGTGAGCGATGTGCCAGTGTCATCGCAACCGAGATGCTCGTTATGAATCCTAATGCGAATCTGTGTCATCTTAAATCATCGCGCAGCGAACATTATCCCTTCGACCTTACAAATTTCTCTAGTAACTTCTAACGCTATAGTAAGTTTCTAACGCAAAAATTACCCCGAGAAGAGATGCACGAATTTTTTCGGTACATCGATTTTTCTCAAAGTGAAGTCAATGATCCTTTTTGATTCGAAGCGATCGTTTGGAGAGCTCGTAAATTTGTTTCCATCGTACAGGAAGAAATTGTGGAAGTTTGTCTGTTCTACTTCGAATCCTACCAAGACTATTTTCTAGCTCCGTGGGAAATCGCTTCTGAACTCGGTGAATATTCCTTAAAAGTGCATGGTCGTTCGCGAGTACATCGGAGTCGCGATAAATATCGAGCATTGCCGGTGCTAGGAGCAGACTGCAGAGCTGGAGGAACTCGAGCGAAAAGCGTCGTAACCTCTGCACGGTCGTTTGCGCATCTTTATGGATTCGCCCCGTAAAATTCTCAAAAGTGATCTCTCGTGTCGCCGAAAATGAACCGACTCCGAGTTTCGAACTCGTGATACTGTGCCATCTCGTTATGGAAGGAAAAGGAGATTTTGTTGGTTCAACGAGTCGAGGAAATTTTAACGGTATTATCAAGATGATAAAGATCCTTACCTGGACTAGTGTTTGCGAACGAGCTCTTCGATTGGGAGAAACCTGAAACAAAAATTACAGATGCAAAATTGAAATAGTTTCGTATAATACTCTTCTCTCCTTTTCTGTTTTTTAATTGACCACAAATTCTCAGCTTGAACATTGCGCTAGGAAAATATTCATTGTGATAATTATTACACGTGACGAGTGTGTTAACGAACGTCAGAACCGAGAGAAGATGCAACGAAAAAAAATGAAAAAAAGAAATAGGTGGATGGGAAATGAAAAAGGAGCACGCGGGAATAAAATTTTATCTAAAAATTAATCAGAATCCAGCGAAACGCGTTTGAAAGTGTGACACACGTTGGTGCGCCGCTGGCGCGACGCTCGCGACCCTGATTAACGACTTCGCGAAATTAACTCGACAATTATTTCATTAGCGCCTAGTAAGACATTTTTCATCCGGTCTCAATGGCCTTTCGGATCCGCGGGGAGAGAGAGAGAGAGACACACGTATATAACGCATTATGACTCTGCTCGAATGCGCTACCCTTAATGACTCGACGAGAATTAACTGTAATTTAATTAATTAAAATCTCACGAAGAAAATACACAGCGGACAAACGTGACCTGGGTCACCTCGTTAAAATGATCACTGGAAAAATCTCGCAATTTTCTACACTCCAACGTTAACGGATAAATCAGATCTTCGCCGATTAAACGAATACCTTCCATCGATTCACAATTAAATCAAAACTCTCATATTATACGTATACATACGTCAGACTAATAACGACACAACAACGTCCGAGAAAATAAATACGTATGATCTTAATTATTATACACGTTTCCATAATTTCCCCGTTTAACGAGAGTGACAAGCCTGGCAATCCTTCAGGCCACAACAGCGATATTCGTAATTAAAGGCAATTTTAAAAAACCGCACGATCCTTGCCCACAGACGTTTCGTTCGTTCGTTCGTTGCTCGTCAAGTTTCACTCGTTAGTTCCGCCGTTCCCGTCGATTTAATTGCCCAACGTGTGAGCGCGTGCGACACAACAAAAATTCACCCGTTAATCCGATTCACTTTGTCGACACCTGCTGTTCACCGCTGCGCTTTTTCATTTCCCCAAAGGTTACACCACAGCTTACGTATTAATTCTAATGACAGTCAGGTAACACACACCTACAGCTACACATACAAGCGACATTCCTTTCAGAGGTTACAGAAGCTTGGAACGAAAATAAGTCCACGGTATTAAGACGTTTCGCCACGGCCATTTTCTAATAAAGTCGTCCCAGCCGGCACACGGGGGTTGAAAAACAGGGGTTGAAAAAGATTCCCGCGTTCCTAAGAAGGTTAGGGCTCGTTGCCGGTCGTCGGAGCGATAAAGAGCCGCGGCGGCAGTGGCGGGGGTGGGGCAAGGTAGGCGCAGGGAACGGCAAGTTCGCCGTTTCAGGAACACGAGGCGTCGTATAGAAGTGTATTACTGGGGACCTCGATAGACGTTCCCGTAGTTGTAGTTGCTTGGTGGCTGGGGGGGGGGCCCCGGGGGAAAAACCCTCAAACGACTTTAACGAGCCGCCGTCTTAAAATGGGGATGTCGGCCTCGCGTTGAGTTTGCGCGTTTATTTGATAAATTAACCCAGAAAAGTATGCTTCGCCGTCGGAACGCTTAACAAGCCTTCGAGAACCACGGCGAAATGTGGAGCAGGGATTCGTTTCGTACTTCTCAGAATACTTTGTCCGCTTCTTTCCAATTTCATTCTCTTCTAAATACAAGGTAATAAACTGAAAACTGTGTGTTTGAGAACTGTGTGCGCACTGTGAGTTCTTGTCGCTTCGTGGTTTAAGGGTAGGTTTGAACGTGGGTAGGTTAAAATTGGTGTAACTTGTGAATTTGTTTCTTTTCTTTTTAATGAAGTTGCAAAGATATTGAAATTAAATCTCTCGCGTTGTATCGAGTAACATTTCTGGAATAATTGGGACGTACCGACTGTCCCAGTTCTTTTCTGACTAAACTTTGTCAGTTTTATGGGTATCACTGAGAAAAAAGTGTTACATGAACATGGATCATTTGAAGCTTTGTTAAAAAGTTATAATGATAATAGGAAATATGGTATAGAAATAGATTAGCGATATTTACATCTAGTATTTACGATATGAGGCCGTTCAACGTAACTTCCGCCAGTACCGGTACAGTTCGTTACCATTTCCTTCGTATTTCGTAATTTCGATGTAACTCCTTAACGAAGGTTCAAAGGACTTACGTTTATACGGCATTTTTTGTTTGTTTATGCCTACAGAACATTGTGACAAAGTCTCTACATGGTACACGTTTCCTTGAAAATATCGCAATTAAATCATACTATTGGTGTACCGTTCGATTTAACAGCTTGCAACTAGATTTTACGATCATCTGATCTTGATCAGAGTGCTGTTCACTTAAAGCTACAGAAGGAACGCGTGTCACGGGGCATTATATTCCGGTATTATTCCGCTTTTCCTGCGCCCGTTCCGCCTTTCACGGTGAAACTTAAACCCTAATCGGCTGTACGAGGCTGGAAGGTTTCGGATTTTTTGAAAACTCGACAATACCTGGCACGAACCGCGCGACTGGTGACAAGACAGGGGCCCTCCATTGAGAAAAATCCACTTCCTAGGTCTCGAGTTACCCAGCGTATTTTGACAGGATCTCATTGTCGTCGCGCGGCTAAGCCCTATTGACTCTATTATGGGCCTATTAGTATTATACTAGGATTTGTGGTTACTCCTTGAAAGACGGTCCTTCCCTCGTAGAAACCTCTCTCCCTCCCTCTACGGGGCCTCTTTCTTGCCACGAAACCGAATGCTTCGCTCGCGTTTGCCCATTCAGGACAGGCCACGGACGTGTCCTGGCCGTTCAACGCGCAATTTCCCTCGACACTGAGTCGAGTCAGCTTCGGTCACGATTACACACGTCCGTTTCGTCGACTTGTCACCCGGATTACACTCGTCGAAAGTTGTAATTGATGGAAAATATGATAAGACGATGAAATTGATCTATCCTTTGAATAATTTCAAATCGAAAGAGAGTTCCAGGTTTCGGGACGATTAACAATTGTGCGTGAAGAATTTCGATCGAAGTGAGATAATATTGAAGAAGAAAAAAAGAAGAAAAGAACACCTTGGTCCAGGTGTAGCTCGTGACGGTAGACTTCCGTATCCAAATTAAACGAAAGACGAGCGAGACGAGTAATTAGCTCTCGCAGAGTCGCACCGTAGCCCGGAGGTTCGCGATACAGCAGCGGGCTAACGAGCAGAGCCGGTAGTAAATCGGGGCCCGGTGAGTCAACGACAAATAATTACCGGCGTAAACAGCAAAGAAAAAGAGGAGAGCATCATAGTGGCTGGTTGAAAAGAGCGAGTGACGACGGGTAATAAAAAAAAAAGGAAAAAAAAGATATCAACTCTATCCCGAGATTCGCGATAGAGCGAGGGTGGGTGGTGTGGGGGTGCGAGGAAGACGTCGGATGTAAAACGACGCGCACGCACGTATATACGCACGCACGCACGCACTCCAAGAGCCCCGCCACGAGAAGCTACCTTCGTTTTCCAAGTCGCGAGAGCAAGCATCGCGGAATGAGCTGCTACTTAGAGAGAACGGGTGGAAACGCATTCACCGGCACGCAATCAAGGCTCCTCGTGGCTGCAATCTCTCTCTCTCTCTCTCTCTCTCTCTCTTTCCACACGTACATACGCGTGCACACGCGTGTGATCCCGCGTGTTCCCATGTCCATTCATACAGCATAGCGGCAAGATTTGCTTCGCGACTCCTCTCGAGCGCGAGAAAGCCCAAGCGATTCCAGGGAACGGGTGAAAGAGAGAGGAGGAGAAAGCACGGGGTGACGGTGCTAAGGGAGAGAGAGGAGAGAGAGAGAGAGTGAGAACACAACAAGGAGAGAGTAAGAGAGAGAGAGAGAAAGAGGGAAAAGCGGAGGACTACGGCGCGCGTGTATTTGAGGCGTGAATTCATGTATGCTCGCGAAGCACTCTTCACGGGGGACAATCGAGGTGTTGGACTGGAAATCCATACCAATTTGAGCGACTTACGGTCGTTCGCTTGAAAGCCCGGTACACGCCACCAACGGTACACACGTATATAACTCTGTGCGAGGCCGAGTGTACACGCGCGCGCGTTTACGCACGCATCCGGAGGTAAGCGCGCGAACGAGACGCGATACCTACGTTTCGCCACCGCTGACTTGTCCCTTTTCGGTGCTGGGCTGCTCGTTCATCTTGTTCCGGGGTCAACCGATTTGTCAAGAGAGAATTCTTTATCATCCGATCCACGTGGAGTGTGATACTTGAGAATAGGTAAAGTACAGTATCAGCGACCATATAGCGAGGTGAGAAATTGAATCTTCGAATAGTTGGACCGATTATGGTGGTACATTTAGGGCAGTGTACACTGTACTCTGTTTTTAGATTCTGCAGATTGAAAGAACGACGACTTATGACCAACAGTGTTTCATTTGCAAATGGAAAATCTGCAAATCTTAGGATTACTGTTTGGAATTTTTGGAGATTTTTAACCCTTTAACCCTTAATTGTCCAATAAATGCAATTTCTTAAAATTATTTTCTCTCACTTTCCACACTGCGTTAGCATTTTTATTATGGCAAAAAATGTAGGTTACAACATTGTAAATAATGGGAAATTTATTTCTATACGCCTAGAGATTAATTTAGAAGAAGGTAAAATTGATCCAATTTGGCACGTCAATTTGAGGAAAATGTGAGCGTTCAGGGGTTAATGTTTCATAGATAAATTTGGTAATTCGTTTCGAACATTTGTAGGTTTCGGATCCTTAACTGCTCTTGTTTCTGTCGATTCGATTGTCTTGGTACCCGAAACATGGTTATTTTGACTCCTGATTTTACGACCACGTTATGTCATGGTACTATACTCATTTATGACTGATTTTGTACGAAGTAGAATATAGCGAGCAGAATTTCAGCTACTAAGAGTTCATAGAATCACGATTGTGGAATAATTTATAAGATCGGATATTTGATTAAAA